TGCCATGTCTTCTCATGGGAAGGCACAGGGCAGAGCACCTGCTATTCCTGACCTGGGGCTAAGTCACTTCTGTTCTTGGGGGTTTTTCAGTGTCCCACAGCGTTCTTTCTTCATGGAGATGATAAAGTCAATTACCAACAACACTGTCCTTAAGAGATGCCTGCGCTCCATGTCCATTAAATGACAAAACCTACTCCCTATCTCCCTACTCCTCAACTGTTCCTTGTGAAACAAATCCCATACTCATCCCATCATCAGAATTAATCTTCTTCATGCTTTTCATCTCTTCATGACTCAACACTGCCCCAGTCTTGTTGCCGTCTGCCCATCCCCCACTCCCACTCCCTGCCCTCTCAGCTAACCTTTATTCCGGCCATAGAAACCTTTAGCAGTTCTCTGATCACAGACTGCTGTTTAGACTTCATTCACCCATTCGCTCACTTATTCATTCATGAAAAGCAGCCTAGCATTTAGGCTAAAGCATAGTTTTCAATCAGAGAACCTGGTTTCATTCTAGCTTTGCCATTTACTACTATGTAAAGTTGCGCAAGTTACTCAAACCTTTCTGTGCTTTAATTCTTTCACCTAAAATCTACAGTTATAGGGCCAGGGATTTAGCTCAGTGGTTCCACCACCTGGCTTGCAAGTGCAAGGTCCCAAGTTCCATCCCTGATACCGAAAGAAACAAACAAACAAAACAAAAAAAACCTAGCAGTTATATTAGTATCCATCTCATAAGGACACTAAGAGGACTAACTAAGGTGACAATTTATAAAACTCTCAGAACAGTGCCTAGTAGATAATATGTACTGAGTAACTAGCAATGAATTCAATCACTCATGTCACATGTTCAGGAAAGGTGATGGTAAAAATGTTTATTTTATTCTACTCACATATTCACTCATTCAAAAGCTTTTTTGTAGACCACTAATTTTGTTTTAAATACTATATAAATAACTGGGTATATATGGTGAATGAGTCAGAAAGGGTCCTTGTTCTTGGGAACTTATACTCCAATGGGGTTGATGGAAATTAAATAACCCAAAAGTAAATTCTTCATCAAAATTATGTTAAGAGATTGAATGACAATATGCTGTGCTATGAGAGAAACAAGAATGGAGGAAGTCCTTTACACTGGGGACAGATAGAGCCTGCCTTCTAGTGGATAATTGCTTACAGTCAAAGGCAGAGTGGAGGAACACCCACACACAGATGCAGGAGCACAATAGATGATGCTTGTAGGGATTGCAGAAGTGGTGGGAACATCTGAGGTGAAGGGGCCAGTATGTGTGCAGGGTAAAGCCTACAGTGAAAGTAGGCATGTTAAAGAATTAGAAAAACTGGAGAGTAGAATTATGGTGAGAAAAGGTCATTTTTCTACCTGGCCTCCATTTCCTGTAGAATAATTCTGGACTTTAGCCCTATCCTCTAATTCCATACTCATCCATCATCATGACTCAAATGTAAAAACACAGATTAAGAACCCCTCAAGAATAAATAATCTGATATTGTTTCTCTCTAGGTGAATTTAGAAGGTTCGTCATGTTTCCCGTAATGCTGTGCACCAAGCATTCCACAGCATAACATCTTTCCAAGTATATATCAAATTGCTGATTAAATGCTCTCCTCCTCTTGGGAGTGAACATCTAGAGTCCTAGTCAATCTTCAATGACTACTGAATCCTTATACATAAGTGTTTAATGAGAAATCTGGAAAATACACATATAAGAGATTTCCAGAACTGCTAAATAAGAACTCCCATTTCTGGCCCTGGTTTTGCCTTCGTGTAGTTGAAGAGGCTGATTCATCTCTTCATTTTCAACTTCCTCATTAAGTAGAACAAGAGGAAGAAAATTGATCCTGTGTTTTCTTAATCAGGCATCATCTGAGTTTATAAAAATCCCGGAATGCCTTTAGAATGGAAAATCTGAGCCTAGAGTCATACAGCCAAGGAGCTCACATTCTCAAATTCTGTCTCAAGCTAGAGGTACATGTGTCTCCAGAATCTGAGTTCTCCTCACATTTCTGGACCAAGCCTCTTCCCAATCTGGTGTGAGTCTCACCAGATTCCTTAGTTTAGTGACATTTTAAAATGTCAGTTTAGATTCTTGAAGGATTTTGAGTAAATTTTCTAATTCTAATCATTAAGAAAATTGCAGGATATTAAAGTTACATGTTAATTTAATAATATTTTTAAATTTAGGGTCCTTTAAGTCCTAGCTATCAGTCTAGCTGCAAGGAATGAAGTGGGGATTGAGAGAGACAAGGTCTTCCTCTCCCCACTCTAAGGTGCTTAGAATCCAGGGATGGTGAAGATTGGCAATGAACAAATGATATTCTAATCTATTACTGGGATGAGTATGGCTCTACTGACCACTGAGGGTGAATGTAGGATAGGAAAGTAAAAGCATATTTTACTATAGCAATAAAGGAGACCTCTCTAAAAATTGGGCCAGATAAAGCAAAAGAGAAGCTCTGTCACAAAGATGGCTAACACGGTAACACTTGAATTGAATGAATCATTCTTGCCTACAAGGGAATTATAAAGAAACGGATTTTTATAAAGAGGATCTTATTTAACCTCTTCCTTCTTGGAAGTTCAGAACCAACTGAGACACATACATCAAAGCCAAGGAGAAATAAAACACTAACTATTTTTGATTATGGTGCATTAGAGAATGTGGCTGGGACCTGAAGTCTGAATCTATTTTTCTGCTCCTTTCTCTAGCCTTCATGTCAGATATTTGCCCAGGCTGCCACATGTAGGTCAGGATGTGCCCACACCCATGAGCCCAGCAAGGCTGAATGTGCACGCAAAGAGGAAACTCCTGATTTGTCTTTAGAAAGTGCCTCTGGCTTCTTAATCAGGCCTGTCCCTTAGGTGCATGAAGGAGTAGATACCAGAAAGCCTCTATTCTATGAGTAATGGTAGGAGAAAAGAGAGCCCAGGAAGGGCTGTCTTGGGCATTCTTGGTTCTCCATCCCAATACCCTCAGTGAGACAAATCACTTCTTTCAGGAAAGCATATTGAGTGGTGGAAAGAAATGACAATGTTTCTACTTGATATTTATAAGAAAGTCCAAAGCAAGAACACAGGGAGAGGGAGCAAATGTATTTCCCAAACAGATATCATGTTTCCTGAAGACCTTTAGGTATACTAGTTATTCCCATAAGATAAAGGGCATATATTGTGCTACCTTCATTCATTTCTTCATCTTCATTCTTCACTTACTGAATAACCATGTAACTCCTCAAAAACATAAGCGCTGTTGTGGGCACAGAGGATACACAGATGAATAAGATGCAGCCCTTGCTTTAAGGAGCTCACATATTGGGTAAAGAACAGACACTGATATTATAACACAAAACAATATTCTTTGAAGAGAGGATGAACTGTGGCTTCACTCAGGTATAATCCCGAAAAGTTAGTGCTTGGGAATGCCCACCACTCTGCATTAAACGTAGTTTGATTTAACTGCAGATAGCATAAGTTATCTCTGAGCTCCTGAGTTCAAAGTCTAGCTATGTGGGATGTAACTTTTCTGTTTCCTTGTCTTTATATGAAGAAAATAATTCTTCTATAGGATTGTTTGTGAAACAAATAAGATGAAGTACATAAAGTGCCGTACTTGGAAGAGGCTTTTGTATACCATGTGCTCAATGCAAGTGGTATTCAAATGATGGAAACCAAAATAACCAAAAATACTGAAGGGCAAGTTCTGCTCACCATTTTAGAGCTGACTATCTTAATCAGACACCTCAACACTTGCAACTGGACCATACCTGTCATTTTTGCAGTGCTCTGTCCTTTTCCCTTGAATAGTCATCTTGTGACCGAAGATGTTGATGGACTTGTGTTAGGGACAAGGAGACAGCTGGAAGCTGAGGCTGTAGCATTCTGCTCTGCTGTGAATATGGGGGAGGCTGATTCTCAGGGTCCAGACAAAAGGGGAAAATGGAGGCCCATGCAGTCTCCCTTCTTGGTCCATTCTTGTATCTGAATTCAGTAAATAGAATGCAGGTGCATTGATTTCATCTGATATGTTCAGAGTGTAGATCTGATGAGAGCAATTTCCTTGCTAGTTTTCATTGTGTTCATTAATAATCATCTCTTCTTTAAATCAAGAATTTGCAATGCAAAAGTCACTAAATTTATGTGGTTCCTGACAAATAAAGTCTAGTTATTTTTATTGTTTCTAGTTTTGAACAAATTTCCTTTAATTTTTTCTTTTATTTATTCTGTTCAGAATTTTTCTTCACTGAGATTAAACTGTCTTTCTCTTGGATTCTACCACAATCTAAAATTATGTTCATTCTACATGATTTTAGAAATTGAAGCCTAAGCTATATCTGCATTCAGCTTACAAAGTTTTAATACATTTTCTTTAAAATGCAAACTAATTGTAAAGACTTAAAAAAATCAAAATTGCTTTTAGAAATTTTTATAAATGTGCAAATATCTTGAAATTAAAATAAAATTCAAATTATAATTGCTTAATGATATTAAAATACCAATTATTAAATTTAAATGTTTAAATAAAGCTTTATTATTTTGTTTGTAAATTTAATTAAATCTTAATTTTTTAATAGTAATGCTTTTCTATTCTAGCATGTAAATGTCCAGTTAGCTACCAGTGTAAAGAACTGCTTCATGCCTTTTCCATGGGGGAACTTTAAGAGGTACAAGAAGAGTTTAACTTAGGAAAATATTCATTAGCAACCCTGTGAAACTGATGGGAAAACTCGCTGAGTCACGTCCTTCCTCTAGAACTATTAGATGGAATATGAAGATATTCAAGAACATAGATGCTTTGTACACTTAGTCATGCACAGCCTTGCTGTGCTTCTACTGTCTCTGAGGAAATTCTGCCCAAGTTAACCAGTCTTCTACTGCTGAGGGTTGTGCTGCTCCAGTCCCCAAAGCACCTGTGCCTGACACTAGCAGTGATTCACATGCAAAGCCTCAAGAATATGTGAGTGAACCGAACTTTTGTTTCTAGGAGACAGAGCAAGAGACATGGAGAAGAATTTCCCTGGGCCTTGAACATGCACAGGAGCAGAAGTTCAGGATCAGTGATGCCAGGTCGGAGATAAGAAGTAGATGCCAAGAAATAGAGGTAATGGGCCATTCTTTTAATAAATTTATTTTTCAATACATTTGTAATATATAAATGCCTTTTGAAAGCACGTGCCTCAGGATAGAAGACTTTATGGCCCAGTCCTCAGGATAAGACTACAGAGGGACAAATTGGCTAGTTAGTGACTAAGGTTTGGATGAAATTGAAAATGAATCCTTTGAGTAAGAATGTAAGGAAGAGGGCCAGGGATTTAGCTTAGTGGTTCTGCAGCCTGCCTCTCAAGCACAAGGTCCCAAGTTCAATCCCCAATACCAAAAAAAAAAAAAGAAAGAAAAGAAAAAAAAGTAAGGAAGAAAAGCTGTGGAGAGACAACCTTCGACATTTGATGTGAATGTTAAAAATCATAGCTTTATGATTCCCCTTGCCTGAAGTTTATGGTTAACATAATAGCATAGAAGCTACACTCTCCAAGTCTCTCTCTCTCTCCCCTCTCTCTGTAGAATTTACAGCCCCATCTTGCCTGTGAATAGTTGTACTCTGCTGTATAAAAGGCAGGAGAAATAGGAGAAATCCACCTTCTTCCCTTGTGCCTTGACCTAAAGTGGAGCATAAAATTGCCTACAAAAGGCCCCTCCTAAACTGCTCACTAATAACACCCCTCTAGAGGCTGCCAGAGTCAGCAGTTTCTCAGAATAACCATATTTTAGAGACATTCAGATTCCCAGAGAGATTTACTGGGTCATTAAGGTAAGGCTTAAATTGCTAAACAATGCAGATTACTTTGCCCTCTGCTTCTGTGATCTACCCTGTTAATTTCTCAGCACATTGCTTGAAAAGACAATACACAGTTCAGGGGCTCTGAGTCCAGAAATCTGTCATCCAGGATAAGAGCCAGGGTACATTTCACCCTGAAGGGGGCACTTCCACACTCATGTGGTCAGTCAGGGAGATTCTGGGCATCTCAGTCCCTAAAATGACTCTTTATCACTGAGCAAAGATGGGTGAACTCCTACTCTGTGCCCAACACAATTGTTGTTGCCAAGGATATGACAGTGTACCAGTCCAATCCCAGCCCTATGTAGCTTGTATGTATTGGGACAGTAGACAGTGGGACATTGTCAGTATGAATCCCCAACACATCAAGTGGTAAAGCTAGCAAAGAAGGGCCAGGGTGACAGTAAGTGCTGGGATAGTGTTTGCTGTTTAGGTTAATCAATCAGAGACAGTCTTCCTGCCAATGTGATATCTAAGCAGAGACTTGAACTGAATGAATACACTGACCATGAATGTGCCCAGGCAAGAGAGAACTGTGGTTACTGAGATGCAGGTGGGTGCATGTCTCCCCTGGCCAGTGAGGTAAGGGGCCCAGGGCAAGGAGAAGACTCTGCTCTCCCTCTGAATAGTGGGAAATCAGTGGAGGGTTTTGAGCAGGAGAGCAAGTAATATGATTTATTTATTGATAGAGCTGTGTGATGCAACCCAAGGAGGAAGGGTGGGAGCACATGAGTAGGTGAGAGGTAAAGACCCAGATAAGCAACAGTGATAATAGGTACAGTACCGACTTCCTACTTACCACACACTAGGTACTAGGCTTCTTAGAGTGCTCTGTATATTTTAATTGCACTTCTCCACAAAATCAATGCTAACATTGCAACTGTTTTACAGCTGAAGAAACCAAGGCATAGAAAGTTTGAATCTTGGACCCACGATCACATAGGAAATCAGTGAGTTGGATCAGGGTGGTGGCCTTGGAGGTGGCTGGGTGCAGGATACAGCCTGAATCAGGGGACAACAGGGTGTGCTGGTGGGATATTTTCAATAGTTCAATAGCGGTTGCTCCCATTTATTAAACATTTATAATGTGACAGCTTCAGAGTGAAGTTCTTTATGTATATTACCTCCTGAAACTTTCACAACTATTTGTGAGTTTTTATTCTTCCCACTGTGTAATTATGGAAATCAATACTCAGATAATTTGACCTATTTGTTCCTGTTCATAGCTGTTAAATGCTTGAATTCTACCTGACCCTGTAGCCTATGCACTCAACAATTGTACTTTCCTGCCCCTGTGTGTTTCTTTTTCCACTCCTACATAAATATTCAGGATCTTTTTGCATCATTTTCTAGATTCTGGCTCCATGTTTTTCCTTGCACTTGAATATGTACCTGGCCTTAGATGTTACTTCCCGCAAGGACCCTTTTCTGGCCTTCTCCTCTTTCAGTCAGTAGTCTCTATTTGCTATATCATTTTACATTTTGTCAATTATATCCAATTTTAAGTCCTATGGACTTAAATATGTTTTTCTTTTTTTTTTTTTTTAGTACTAGGGATTGAACTCAGGACTTTGCATTTGTGAGGCAGGTGTCGGCACCACTGAGCTCAATCCCTGGCCCTGGACTGAAATATGTGTATCCCAAATTCCTATGGTGCATATCTAACCCCAAGTGTGTTACTTAACAGGATGGTGTTCAGAAGTGGGGTCTCTGGGAGGTGATGGGGATCAAGGGAAGTCTTTGTGCTATGCGTATTTCCTTATAGGAGGAAACAACAGAAAGCTTGGACGTGCTCTGCCTCTATCCCTCTCTGTCAGCAGCTCTTGCCAGAGCCCAGTGATGCTGGTATGCTAATCCCAGACTCCACAACTGTGAGAAAAAAAATTTTTGTTGTTTAAGCCATGTAGTCTATTGAATGTTGCTATGGCAGCCTGAGCAAACTAAAATATATATCATCTAGTATAGCATATATAATTATGTGTGATATCATAGGATATGATATACTATGATATCATATGATATACTCTGTGTGATATCACGTAGTATATTTTACATGATACTATATTCCATTGGATTGTACTAATATATTTTCTCCATTTTATGCTAGCCCGATTTCTCTTTTCTTGCCTACTATTTCCTAATACCATGTAAAGCAATTTTTTTAAGTTTTGTGAAAATCAGAGCTAAATTCATTATTTGTCTCCAGACACTTGTATATTATTCAATACATATCAGGCACACAATAATATTTGATGGAAGCACTCATTTATGAATGAAGGAATAATTCTAGTCTCCCTGAATAACTACCAGTGTCTGTAAGTGTTTCTCAACTGACTGCAGCCTGCTTGGTTAGTGTTTCTAGTGAGCCTCCCTCTAATACCAGTGGAACATCTGACCCATTAGCTCTTCAGCTTGACCAATTTGTTCTGTCCATTAACATTTCCAGAGCTAATCTCAGTTCTACATGAACCTCCTAAGGAATGTGGGTGGTCTTTTCCCATCCTTGAATTTCAGGTGATCTCATCAAGATTAGGCATAACTTTGGACTTCAGTGGCTTGGACCAAAGAGCATTCCTTTGTCTCATCATCTAAGACAAAGGAAAGTTGTAAAGAGAAAGGTGCATACAGAAATTCTCCAAGTCCACAATTCATTCTGGGAATCAAAAAAGCAATTCCCCGAGTCCAGAGATGTGGGTGGTGTGGTCAGAGGCTGCCTGACTGCCTCGAGCTGCAGAGCTCCAAGTCTGGGGAACTAGAGAAAGCAGGATTTGTGTTTTGTTATCTCTTTCAACAGGCTGCACATACAAAGGCGCTGCAGATCAATTTGTGGTGTTAAAGTGCTCATGCCCTTTCCGGAGGAGCATTGCCTTGAATATTTAACAGGGCAGGTAATAGTCCTAAATGGCAGTGGAATTGAGTTGGGTGGATTGGGTCAGCCATGGCCTGAATTATGAAACTGCAAAGAGGGGATAGACGATTTCTATTGATTTGGGACCAATTTCTTCTTATTTTGTATTTTGCTTTAAATCTATGAACTGTGTTCTGAGCAGCTTCCTGTCTTGATAATAGAAAACACTTCCTTTAAGTGGTTAACTTGACAGGCTTTCATTTGTATCCAGGCTGCCTGAAGCTACTTGTAACTCCTATCCTTCATGTTTACAGTTCTCCTTCTATCTGAGATTTGTTTGTTCATTTATTCATTCATTCAACCAGCTTTGATTGAATTTCTACCATGTGTGTGAAAAAATGATAGTTCTTTGAAGGGAAAATGAGTAAAAATGTTTCTGTGCTGAAAGTACTCCTAGTCTAATAAAACAGGCAGATGTCAGGCTACATTGGTGCTATAATGACCAATGTGGTAGAAATAGGGAACTGCAGAGTCCCTACAAATATTAACACAACTCCTGGGTTGATTATCAAGGGAAACATCTCAGCAAATGTGTCCCTGACTTTGATCTATTATTATCTCAATCTTCGATATTTGATTAGGCAACTCGTTAAATCTCTTGAAGATTCTATTTTTCGAGCTGAGTTATTTAGACTAGATTTTAAGAGGTTCTTTTAAATCCCTACAAAACTATTCTGAGAGTCTTAGTTTTATTTGCCTGGGAAATAGTATATTAGACTAAGAGACTGTGAAGATAGATAGCTTGGATTTAAATTCTGGCTTATTTTCTCTATTCTATTGGAAAATATTTAAATACTATGACCCTAAATTTCCTGTCTGAGAAATGGTAATGATGGCAGCAACTCCTTTACAGGTTGCCAGGCAAATAGTCTTTAATTAATGTTATTTATGCCTATGTGGAAATATTACAAACTCTGTGAAAACTTATTGCATTTCTAAGAAGAAGCCATTGAGATATATAAAATATACTAGCCCAAATATCCAAATAGGTCAATGCTTCTTGACTATAAGTGGTTTTTGCCCCACAAGGGACATTTAACAACATTAGGAGACATTTTCTGTTTTCAACTTGGGTAGGAGGATGGGGATTGTTATGTCACAGAAAGAACAAGAGTTGCTGATGAATATCCTAAAATGTATGGAGAGGCCATTACAATAAAGAAGCATCCAGCCCAATATGTCATTATAGTTGAAGCTGGGAATCCCTGGATTAGCTGAAGACATCTGTTTCGGATGACAGGAATCATATGCCTTTGATTGCCTCAAAGCACAGTTGATAAATATTTATTTATTCATTGACTTAGAAAATTTTTATTCATTTAATAAAAAATGAGCACATCCTCCTGACCCTGCCCTGGGAACTCAGGCAAAAGCTTTCAAAGTGTGTAGGAAAGAGTAACTTCTTGGGTTCCAGAACTGAAGAGGAAGACTGAGCATCATTGTATCTTTGAATTATGTCAAAGAAAATCATGAAGAACTAAGTGGGAATCACAGAGCATCTGTGAAATAGTGGGAAACGATGTAAGGAGCAGGCTAGGGTCAGAGATTCCTATGGTCATAATGATCGATTTAATACACCTGTGGGATTACCAGCCCTAATGCAACTGGCTCTATGTAGCATTCTCCAATGCACTACTTAACATAAAGAAATAGGACTCTTCTGTCTCCTTTATCAGCAGCACCTTCTGCCACCATGTGCACCAAATTAGAGGCAGAGGCAGGCACTTGTAAGATATCGCTTCTATATTGCTTCCTCTGACTTCTCAGCACAGAAAAAGGTCTAAACTCTTACACTCCAAATTTTGTATACTTTGAGTAGACATCCTGTATACTCTTGGAGACTGTGGTGAGCAATCTGACCTGCCTGTCTGCTTTTATTCCATATTTTGAACCACTTAAGTACAGGCCTCGTGTTCCACACTATCTTTATTTCTCAGGTTCCAATACAGCTCTTGGCATGAAGTGGCCAAAATTGGTTGAATGAATCATTTATTGGATCCGTTTCTGTTTCTTAAAGTTTGACTTCTGCTCCTTTGAAATGATCATGCTGGTACAGAAGAACAGATGGAAAAGGAATGAACTAAAATGGATGTGGTTTTATATTTATGTATCTACTCATTATTTGGAGATTATTAGCCTCATGAATGGTATCTATTGTGAAGGTTAGGGTCACATAGACCTGACAAAAGAGTCGCAGACTATACTCACATAGCCACATTCATTCATGTACACATGCATCCAACATTGGATGAGCAGACACCATGTTGCTTATGGGGAATCTTGTGTCCTGAAATAGCTATGGTGCTTGCCCTTAGATGGCACATCGCTTCCTGAGAAGACTAACCGAAATACTAGATTCTGTGACTTGTTTCTAGGATGAGAACAATGAAAGCAAATAACTGACAGTTTTGTTGCCATGGCTCTGTGACAGATCACCTTGGGTAGACTGTGCTACCTTTCCCAGAGCTGCACTCCTGTTATGCATGCGGTGAGGAAAGTTCTCTCCAGAACTTAGACAGCAGGAAGGGAAACTGCAGTCATTTTGCAGCAACACAGAGCTTTTCCTAATAATCAAATACTGTTCTGTGTGCTTCTTTAAAGGGAGCTTATAGATGAAATACAAGGTTCACAGCTACTTGAATTTTTATTTATTCAAAAGAGATTATTTGGGGTGCATGTAGCCTTTAAATGAGATTGTAAAATGTGTCTTGATAATTAGATACTCATCGAATCATCTGGACCTTCAATTGCTTCTCTTTACCTGGATCTTCCCTACCTGACTGCCTGTGCTCTAAACTTGTGTCAGTAGGTCCCCTGTCATAAGTCCATACACACATAGAGGTGCACGTAACACTACATGCACATATACACACATCTGCATGAACCTATGTGTACATGACATATATGTATGTAAACCTGTGTGTGTGTCTGCAGAAACCCATCAGATTCAAGTTCTCTGGATGGTGCTCGCCCAACACCTATGGACAGGCACAATATTTCAATGGTTTCAAGAAGGTATCCTGGGAGAAGTGAACTGAAATATGGAGGATGCCTTGGAAGAGGAAGGAGCTAGAAGAGAGCATGGTGAAGTCTGTGGCCAGAGTGCTGTGGATGGAGAAGGGATGGAAGGAGGTGAGTTGGAGACTTAGGCGGGACCAAAGCCAGAAGATCATACAGACAGGGAAAAAGGATTATGATGGGTTTTGTTTGTCTATTTTGTTGTGATAAGGTTATACATGTATAGATGAAAGACTGAAAACAGTTACGGTAATTATACAACCTTTGCTGCAGAGAACTAGTCTGGCAGTCTGAGGTCCTGAGCCCCTGAGTTCCTCACTCAGGACAGCAGCTGGTGGGATGCCCAGGCATGGAGTCCCCACATGTAATTCCTATGAGAGCACTCATCTCCCTCCCTCATTATACTTTGTGTTCCTTTGAGTGCTTGTTGGTTACACTCACATTGTATAGTTTAAATAGAGAAGACAGGAAGAAGCCAGTGCAGGCTGTGGCCCTGAGAAACTGAGCTTGCATTGTACAGGTTTCAGGGTTCAAGAGGGTGTAAAGAAGAATTGGCTTGAGCAACTCTGTTGGCTTTTCTCCCTAGTGTCTTGCCAATCGCAGAAGAAACATGGGGATTATCCTCCCTGTAAATAATACAGAAGGTTGCTTCAGCCACAAGGTTAGAGACCAACGGAGCTCCTGTGTGAAAGAAGGAAACCTTTTTTTCTATGAGTGTGTGAATGCTGGTGCAGTTGTCACACAGGCCCCCACATACTGCAAAAGCCAGCTCAAATGATAAAGTCAGACTGCTACGTCGAAGAACATTTCTTTAAGCAATGTATAAGATTCACGACTGTGACACGAGACTTAGTATTTTGTCCCTTTTACATTTCCGAAGCTTTCTGCTCCAAAGAATTACCTTTAGGACTACTACTTTTTCAGAGTTTATGCTGCTCTGTCAAAAAGTTTAAACTCCTCCTAAGCCTTGTCTCGATCACACCAATGCTTACATCTTTGTTTTAGCTCCGTACTATTAGTGGTAGCTAAATGATCTTTGGCCCCTGCTCTATACTTCCCACTTTCATAATAATAAGAGGCTGTACAAAAGTTGATGAAGATTGTTTCAGCTTCCAAACTCATGGTAATGCTGAACAATGCATGCCCTGGTCTACGAGAGAAACACCGGGGACTTAAATTCTTCCTCTTTAAAAAACAATGTGAAGTATAAAATTATGAAAAAAACAAAAACAAAAGAAACCCTTATCATTAGACAATGGGAGCTGCCTCTGCCACTAGGCCCAGTGTAGCCACAGTGCCCTGAAGTGCTATTCCTCTGGCCATTGCCTGGTGCTAAAATGCATTCTTCATGGTGACCAGATCTTTGCAAAAGCAAGTACAGGTTCCTACTGGTGTCTGATTGGATGACACACCTGCCATCCTCTTGTTGACAATAGGACTGTAAAACTCACAAGTTGGCCTTTTACTTTTTCTTTTGGTAAGTGGTCTCTGTCTTCAGATAATCTCATAGAGTGAAATATTTCTCCAAACAAAAAATATGTATAAAGCAATATCCTTTACAGATCTTCTGCTCTGCTGCTAATTATCCATGAAGACTTGGACATATAATTCACATTCACTAAACCTGACTGTCTGCTGCAAAATGGTTAAAATGATACCAACCTGTGAAGTGTATGACAAATCCTCAAAGATAATCTCTGTAAGACATTTAGCACATGTTTCTGGCACAAAGAAAGTAAATGGCTGAGTAGTACTCCATTTAATAAAAAACAACCCAGATCTTTATCCAGTCACTAGATGACAGGCATTTGGGTTGTTGCCAAGATTTAGGTATTACAAACTGTGCCACTATAAACATGGGTGCACATATATCACTGTGGTATAATATTTTTAAATCTTTTGGGTAGATACTCAGCAGGGGAATAGCTGGGTCAGATGGGACCTCTAATCCTAGTTTTTTGAGGTATCTCCATACTGATTTCCACACTGGTCGTACCAGTCTACATTCCCACCAACAGTGAAGAAGTGTTCCCTTGTCCCCACAGCCCCTGCCAGCATTTGTTATTGGTTGATTTGTCGATGGCAGCCATTCTTTCTGGAGTGAAGTGGAATCTCAGCATTGTTTTCATTTGCATCTCTTGAATTACCAGTGATGTTGAACATTTTTTCATGTTTATTTACTGTTTCTGCAATAGAATGAAGTACTAGTCAGCCATAAAGAATGATAAACTATAAATGATAATGATAAATGAATGATAAATGATAAATCCATTTGTAGCTTAATGAATGCATATTGAGGCCATACTCTTAAGAAATAAATAGGACACACATGTGTAAACACTGATTGTCTTGCTGGTATGAGAAACTGAAAGTGTAAATGAAAACCAAAATGTATAATAGATAATGTGATATAGAAAGCAAACGTTCAAAGGGGAAGGGGAAATAGGAAGGGTGGGGGAAAGGAATGAAAAAAAATGAGAAAAGAAGGAAAAATCAGAAAGAAAACTTTTATAAGTAGAGAAGAGTGAAGGGCTGTGTATTTGTCTACAGATACAAATTCCTAATGATGAATGTGATTATAATGTATACCTAAAATGTGCCAATAAAGTTAATTTTAAAAAGAAAGTAAATGGTAGTATTTTTACCAGAATACTAAGGGGTAATCACTCTAGGTACAAGTGTACTTAAGAGATATTTTATTTGTATTGAAAAACTATATACTTGGGCTTATAAGTTCATGACAAAAGTGCCATATGTCACAGAAATCTCTAACCAGTGAGAGTAAAACTGTTTAGTAAAGTGTTCAGACCACCTGTCACTGATGTTCTGCCTCCCTGACTTCCAGATTGAAACCAGCTATACCATGTTCACTCAAAGACTCCTATACATTGAAATTTTGTTTTGCAGATGTTGGAAAAAAAAAGTAAAAACAGTTGGCTTATTGCCATGTGTTTGGCAGTAGTTTAATCTCTTTACATACTGTCTTTTATTAATACAATCACATTATGAGGAAGCAATGATTATTATTGCATTATCGCATTATTATGGTAATGGATTAGAAAACTGAGATCCAAGGTAAGTAATTTGCCACTACACACAGACTGTGAATGGGAGATGGAAAACCCAGTGCTTAAATCCTTTGCTATGCTCTTCTGCAAGACAAATTTCCACCAGGCTGAGTCAATTTTCCTTTTTGTTCCAGGAGTTAAAAGGATATTTATGGATACTGAAAAGTAAGGAGTGGGAAATAAAGAAAGGGAAAGAAAAGATAGAGTCAGAAGCTTATCTTTTGAATCACCTCATAACTAATTAGCGGGGTGGCCCAGCTGTCTCTTATTCTCTAGCCGTTGTCCTGGACTGTAAATAAAGAATAAAAATATTTCTTTATATGGATAGTGAGAAAATTAAATGAACTGGTATATGTGAAAGCCCTCTGTTAATGGTAAAATATGACCCATATGTTATATTATTATTACTATTATTATTAGTTCAGGAAATGAGTAAAGAGAAGAGAAGCACTGAACAGGTTTTTAATCATTTGCATTAAAGATAGAAACTCAGCCATTGCACAGGGGAAGTGCCCAGATGTAGAGCTCAAGCAGACATGAATTTGAATCATTTATGCAGCATCTGTGACCTCTACTTTCCTTCCTTCCTCTCTCTCATTCCTTTCATTTACTCACTCCAGCTTTCCAAGTCAAGTCTTAGCAATGCTGTTCTACACAATCAAATGGAGGGTCTGGGCATAGATTTGAAAATCAAAGTTCAGAATAGGAGGTCTGATTACACAATACAGTGAATGTTTAAATTACAAAATTGACTACAGTATAGATAACGTGTCACTAACACTCCTCAAAATACTCCTCCTTGTGTCGAGTACATTTATTACCATGTTTTGCCTCTTCCTGAAGCAGTTCTGGAAGTCCTCTTTCATGGGTGTCTTTACTTGCACTATCGTGGCTGCCTTGATGTCCTCTACTGATGAAAAACATTTACTTTCCATGGTCGTTTTGACTTTGGTGAAAGGCCACAATTCATATGTTGCAAGACATAGTGAATATGGTAGATAAGGACACACTATAACATTTTACTTGATTACTATAAATGTTTTGAATTGATTCAGGACATTGAATCCACCATGAAAAGACACTCTTGAAAGAGGACCCTCAGAACTGCTTCAGAAAGTGGAAAGAAAGGCATACAAATGTGTACCAAGTAAGGGGAGTATTTTCAGGAGGACTAATGGTGATGTGACTTTTAGTATAATTTAAAAATTTTTAAATTATTTTTAATTCTTTTATTTTTATGAGTACACATTTGCAGTGCATAATGATCACATTCATCATGGGTAGTTGGTACATGCATGTAAGGCATCTTAATTCTCTTTACTTCCCTTTTCCCTCTCCTCCTTCCACTTCTTTCTGTCTCTTGGTCCTGTGCTCATTTGGAAAAGATCTACACATTCACACTATTCTTGATAGCAGCTCTGGAGTCTTGTGCAGAAGAGTTCATTCCTGGGAAAATCTGCCCTCATCAGTTGCTTATTGAACAGCAACTGCATGTGTTTCTGTGACACACACACACAAACACACATACAGCCACACACAATCCCTCGCTGGGGATATGTTCTTATTACAGTGCCCACCTACAGTGACACAGTCTGAAATAGTTATCAATGGTAACAAAGTTTGAAAATGTTTTCAATGTGCATAAATATTTAATAGTGTCAGCAACACATTTGAATAAATTGGTTGACCAGCCATACAAGAGCTCTTAAAAATGTGGATAGAAAAACACTAGCAGTATTTAATTCCAGGTGGTAGGAATATATAAATCATCACTTTTATCTTTTGATGATTATTGTATATGTATAATATCTATGCATGGAAATTCATACTTTTCAAAAACAGGAAAGAAAAATAGCACATGTGAATATATTACTTTGGAAAATATAATCACTAATACATACTTTGAAACATAGTTTTAACCTTATTGGCCAATTAAATATGTACAAATGAAAGCAACACTTGGGTGCTTTGTTCTGCCTATGTAGTTGACAATATTTTTTGAAATTTTGAACATTATTGTTTTCTTGTTGAAATTTTATTCCCTAT